AGACAGATTCAAATCTGCCAGCGGTCTCCACTGGCCAGCTGTAGTCGCGCTCACGCCGGCCGCGTAGCAACCCGTGTCATGATGACGAACTGATTTCATCAGCTTTCCGCGTGACTCGCCGCAGGCCCACTTTACGTCTCGAAACTGTGTCACGGAGCTATTTTGTTGCGGCCGCCTAATACTCTTCCTGCTGAGTAGTCCGTGAACCGAATATAGGTAAAAACGTTGGTACTGCATTGTGATTATTATGTGGAAAAGGACTGATGGCATTACAGGAAAATATCACCCATAAGAATGCTGGGTACGCTAAGCTGCCGCTAGCCGAATGATATAAATCACAACAGATTGCTCCGAAATGTATCGCCTGAAAGCTTAATAATTATCCTGAAAAGGCTTTCTGCAAGGAAGCGATTTAAATCCACCATATCTACTAGATAGGTACATAAAAATTCAGAAACGTCACATGGTGTCGTTACCTACTTGTAGACAAGCTTAACTGATTTGGCACAAGCAACCTTAACAGCTAACCTAGCTGTTCTAGCAATCAAAAGATCTTTGGTGAACCTATAAATACACCTAGTGTCTCAGCCTAGTCATGAGGCGTAGCACGCTTCGGTAGCCGTTCTGTCGAACACATTTTTGCTAAGTTCACCAGCTTCTGATTTTGATTGTGCTTGGAAGTTGGAGGAAAGCAAGGTTGTTTCAACTGGAATTACACAGAAGTTAGATGTAACAAGAATAATGGAATTGCAGCAATTATGAAGGGATAGAAAGCACGAATATGAATGAACTGAATAACCACGAGAACAGGTAACCATACCAGGTATGGACTACACAAGCTAATAAGTTTGGCTGACCAATGGTAGATTTGATGTTAGTCGGGTGGGGAACTAGAATACCTGCTCAATCCCTAACACAGACAGCTGCTGTACAACCAGTTGACATAACAAGACTAGAATCGCGAGAGAACCAGACTACAGAGCTCAGGTAGAACGCGGGATTAACTTACGATTCCTTTTAAGCTGCTGCACTCGCGATGAATTGCTTCGCGTTCGGATTCGATTAAGGAGAGCTGATCGACCAGAGAACGTTGCTTTTCGTCCGTGAGACGTCTCACTGTGTCCAGCAGCTCCGTCCGACGACGTTCAACGAGGGCCATCACTTCCGAAAATTTCGAGTCGATCGCCTGATTGGATTAGAAGAGGCGTACATTTGCTTATTGATGGCATTTAAGTACAGTGGAAGGAATGGGAGGAGCCGAACAAGCCAAACCGCTAAAATGATACCATACTTAAGGAAGTGGATAAAATGCTCCGCTGTGCAGAAAAATCCTTCCTACTGTCAAAGAAATTAGACTATAGCAAAAAGCGGTCATATCACTTAAGCTGAGGAGAGAAGTAAAAAAATGTCAACGCAAGTACCTTCAGCCGTCGTGAAGAAGAGCAAGGAAATGAAATAGGCGTACTGTTTTATGATCAAGCACGTATTGAGGACATACCTCGACGCACGTGTTCTTATTAATCGAGAGCCGATCCAATTCGGCGGAAACCGCATCTTGAGCGTTATTGAGCTCTTGCACACATAAATGCATTTTGTATAACATGATCTCTGTGCATCGTTTTATTGCCACATTGAAACTGATCACGTTATGGTTTAATGCCGAACTGGTGGAAGAGCCTGCTGCCAAAGAAGGCTCATCTGTCCACTGCGAACTATGCGATCCGTTGTCATGTGAGTTAACGTTCGTCGGAGCATCATGATTACGGCCTCGGCAGTCTGAGCAAAACACCACATCGCAGGTTTCGCAAAACAGCAGCTCTTGATTCGGATGTGAGCGGCACTTCGGGACAACGTCACGCCGCTGAGTTGCAAGCAAATCCAGCAATTGATTGACAATGAAGGCAGGGGGAAATGAGGAAGCCCCACCAGCAGGAATTGCAATTGTTTCGCGACAAATGGGGCAACGAAAGGAAGCAGATGGTACCTATGAGGGGACAAGCAAAATTCATGAGTAAATGTAGAGTTTGAAGCTAGATGAAGTTGATAGTAACGGAGTACGCAGGCTGAATAAAATGAAAACCGCAAAGCGAGATCAAGTAACGTACGATACACCAAGCAGAAAAGCTGGTGAACATCAACAACATATGGGGTATGCGCAGTGTCCAAATACCATGTGGCCACGATAGTTGAATTGATAGACACAAGAGATGATATTTTGATTGCGACCACATCGAACCACAGCTGACCACTAGTAAGTAGTTCGTGGGGATACAAACAGACCTGACCGTAAAGGTGATAAGCAAAGGTGAGCAGGAATTTCCAGGCAACAGAGTCTCATTACCGACGGTTAGGTGCGATGTACCAAGTGCCGTTTGGAAATATAGGGAGAAGTGAGTAAAAGGTGGGAGGTTAAGGAGTCAATCATAAAGGTTGCCTCGATGAGAAATAACTGTGTGTTGAGACCAATACATCAGTAGCTGGTGGAATCGAAAACAACTTTTGATGCTGCACAGAACGGATACAGTTGCTCAGTTTCATAAGAACACCAAAGGAACGAAAACAACGACAGGTGAGCATTTTACGTTAGTAATCTTTGAGTCAGATGACTACTGTTAGCAGTGTCGAAGAATTTGCTCGCAACACGCCCGAGATCGAAACCAGGCACCACAAGGATGAACTTTTTAAAAATTCGGTGTCTAAACTACGCAGAGAAAGGTAACAGGTCGATTCATTTTAATACATCGCAAAGTCAAGGTATGGGGAAAGTAGAACGCGTGTATTTATATGGCAGTGGGTTGATTTACTTTCTGGAATTTTCAAGACCATCAAAATATGTTGACTTCCGAGAAATTCTGTTATTCGACCAATGAATTTGTCCGGAAGTTCAGTTTGTGGTATATGATGGAGCCAGTCAAAGTCGTACAGAGTACTCGTTAGGAGAGTGAACGTTAAATATGCGAAAACTAGATCCGAAATATGACATAATCAACAAAATAGGAACACAGGTGTTTAGTTAATGTATTCGAAGGAGATAAATGCTTCCACATAACTTTAGGAGCGTGACCAACAGGAACTGTTAAATTCGTCTAAAGGTGATGAAACTTCTCGTAAAAGATCATGGCGCACCGTCATCTCGTGTGAATTAGAAGCAGGAAGGCACGCCAATCGGATGCACAAGTCACGTGACCGCAGTCAACGAAACAATGGCATAGTCAGTTGCAATCAAAGGATATTCGAGGGTCGTGTTTCAGCCTTTGAATTCTCATGGGATGGATGAGACAGTAGGTTGGATAACCTCGAAGGATTGGACTGATGAGAATATAGACGAACAACTCGGGTAACTGAGTAGTAGAACCAACGATCAAATTGACCAAAGCATGACAATATGTGACAGTCAAGGGTTCCAAGGTAGCAAATGTCCCCATTCAGGTGATGAGTGCTACAAGGTTCCAAAACATCCAAGCGAACCGCATGACGACCGTGAGATACCGCTTGGCCAGTATTCACAACAGTGAGCATATTTGTGGATTTGGCTCGTTTCGATTTGGTGAAAATCGGTTTCAAAATATCTTGATGGGTTCGGACCCTTGTTTACTCTTGATTTAAGACGGACCGGATAACTCGTCATTTGGATTATGGATACGGATAGAGGACAGTTATCTAGTTGCTACGCATAACAGTGGCGGATAACAAACCACCGGAACAAAAGAGCGTAGGCACTAATGTATTTGGTGATCAGCTTAAGAACATGAGATGAATTTGGGCGTAGAATGACACTGCAAACGGGTTGAAAGGCAAAACCGAAGCCAAATCAGTACCCCAACGTCTTGACAGGATGTTAAGAAAAAATTGGATGACGACCACCCTAGACAGGGAATCTTTGTAATGAGCTCCCCAAAGAAGTTAAGCTGCAAACAGATTTAAAATGCTAAACACGTCTAAAAGCACAGCTAATGACCGCCACATTGCGGACGAGTAGGATCAATTAAAATGTGGAATGTGGCCATATTAAGCTGATGAAAAAGTCGAAGACATACTTGTGTTTCCAAGATTCGGTTCAGACAGGAAAGACAGATTGTATGCGAGCATGGTAGTAACTTGGCAGCCTGATCTCGCCTATTGTACCCGCTGAAACAGGTGCCACAAGTAAGAAAACTGTCGGAAAAATCATCCACGTTGATCATGACGGTTTCCACCAAGCGAGATGCCATCTGTAGAAGTAAAATAATGGGACATTCAGGCAGCAGACCTAAAGAGTAATCGAAAAGTTTCAGTAAAATGGAAACATGTCAAACAGGATAAAGCTTAGCATACCAGTGGAATGATGACCGATTGGAAGATAGTCGATTGAACCCACTATGGTGGGCGATATGGTGCGGCGATATTTTTCAGAAAAATGTGGAACAGCCACAGTGAATTGCGCGGGTAAACTGCACGCCGACTGGTAAAGAGTTGACATAAAAATTTGAGCCAGTGGCGCAACGAGAACTCAAGTAGTAACAAACGATAGTTGGATACCGACTCATATGCTTATGCCTCACTAGTACCCAGGCGAGAATTGTGGATAAAGACAGGACAATGTTCACGAACGATGACTGCTCGTCGTAGTGCAAGCACGCTAGAGATTACACCAATTTCCTCCCCGATCTCTGCTGCCCAGTCGAAAATATTGATCACATAGTTAATGGAACGACTTAGGAAAGTATATAATTGAGAAGTGGCATCCACAGCCAAAAGTCACACTACTGCAACGAAAACTGTGATCGGAGAATTGAACAGTTTGCACATCGAAATGGTTCCACAATCATAACTGCCGTGATCTGTGGCGAATCGCAAAGCAGCTGTGGGGTCGAGGTTCATGTAGGACGATTAACACTGCAGAAGTTGACAAGGCGAATGCCGAATTCAATTACCAACCACAGAGTACATTCTCCCTAACTTCTTCCATTCGCTAAGGCTCTGCAATTGCCCCTGACGAATTGGGTCTCAGTAGGGAACTCCGAAAAGCCGCCTAAATAAGGCTAATGGCTTAGATACTTTGTCGTTCTAAAAGTGTGTGCCGATTCACTCACGGAATCTTTAACCTATATCCTTAACAGATGTCCAAAGAATAGTATCACCTCGACATATGGGGACCCGTTGGGATAACACCTGTGTTCAAGAGAAAATCCTAGAAGTATGGTCCAAGTGAATGCACGCCTGCAATTTCGAAAGTCTACAAGAAACCACTCGGTCCCTTGGATTTGTGCAAGCTCTCACCGTCGCAACGAAACGACCGCGTGGTGCGAGGGCTTGTGCACCTTATTGATTCATTAAACAATACTGGGTGGTGCCCCTGGGCCCCTTGAGAGCTACTCCTATCAGATTGGTCAATGGTTAGTAGTCAGACGAACTCAGTCTCCTGGTCCTCCAGGTTAGGGGTTTGAAATGTAGTGGCACCCATTTCTGTAAAACAACATCATCATTATACAAGTTAGCTAGAGGTGGAAAACACTTGAGCCATTGTGCCGAAATACATGAGAAAAGAGAGTAACGGATAGGCATCGTTCCGGAAAGCTAAGAACCGGCTACTGTGCAGCAAATATTATATATTATATATTATATATAAATATTTATATTATGCTAAGAAATGAGAGCATGGATGGATGGAGAGGACAAGCGAGATGGGGAGGGACAAAGGAACTCAAACGCCACCGAGGTCGGCTCCTAGCCATGCCAGAAAGTTACCCAGCCAAACATGTTCATCGTCCGTCGGACCCCAACCAGGGAGTTGAGAGGCTCCAATCGAGGCCAGCTTCAAACTAAGGGCCTCATTCCTCTTGACCAAGTCATCGCTTAGCCACCTCTTCTCTTCCATCCACGGTGTTCCCACCAGATGTGAACCAAACTGCAAAGGCATCATCATCATACATGTTAGCTAGAGGTGGGGAACACCTCAGCTACTGTGCCGCAATACAAAGAAAAAAGGAGAGAGAAAAAACTGCGAAGGCACCGGAGGTCGAAGGTAACTAGCCTTCTTAAGTCTGTCTAAGCAATGGTCCAAGTTTCGCAATTGTACAGTAGGGTCGAACGTACGGCTGCATTGTTAACTACACCCTTAAGAGAATGATATCGCGCCGGCGCCATAGGTGGCGATGGTTAGCAAAAGCTCCTCGAGTTTTTGCTATACGGTTCGTGACCTGCTCTTCGATTCCACAAGCGCAAATACAACTACCCAGGTAACTGCATTTATAAACGACTTCTAGCTGATCCCCATCAAAGGTCAGTGAAGCAGGTGGTCCCTGCCAATCTTGGGGAAAAGCTTTGCATTTCCAGGACGCAAAGCAAAGCTCGAAACAGGTGACAGCCAGTGCTAATCTGTCCAGTGCTACCTGACACGTTTATGAGCTGTCACAGATGAGGGCAAAATCGTTCACCTGGGATCAGCTCCACACCTAAGTCGTGTCCTGTGAACGCGATTTCCATGACTTCGTCAATAGCGAAGTTGAAGAGGAAAGATAACAGCGGAAATCCTTGTCCTACACCATTGGATATATTGAAGGGCGGTGACAGCTTGCCGTAAGCCCTCACTCTGCCCGAGCTACGCGCGTAAAACGCTCGGATATTTATATATTTCGCGGGCATAACTTTCGTGAGTAGAAAGTCCCAAAGGACACATCGATCCACCGAATCGAAGGCACCTTTGGTGTCGAGGAACACAACGGTGGGCCGCCAATATGTGTGACGGTGCACCAAGAATTGGCGCAAAGTGAAGGTGTGGTCGATGCAGCCCCGACCGCGGCGAAAGTCAGGTTCCTCTTCATGAATCTGACATTCACGAGTGCCAGTCAGTCTGTGAAGGATGACTGAGGCAAGTAATTTGGAGGCGATGGAGATAATACTCTTCTATGAGTGCCGCATTCCGATCGTGAGCCACCCTTGAAAAGTAGAACTATTACGGAGCGGCTCCATTCGGTTGGGACAGTTTCCTGCTTCTACAGTTTCACTAGTAACTCGTGTAAATCGTCAACAAGAGCAGGTCCCCCGAATTCGAAGACGGCTGGAGGAAGGTCAACTGGTCCTGCAGCCTTATTCAACTTCAGCAGTTCGAGCTCACGTTCGATTTCTGAATACTGAAAAAGTGAAGTGAGTCTAGATGCCTCTGGGTAGCTACATCCAATATATCTTAAGCAAATCTACCTATTATGATGGCTATTATTCTCGAAATCTTAAGAGGACAGATCCAAAGGGAGAACCCAGGGAGCAGGGCGATCAGTGGCCGGCAAGAAAATGGACAATTCCGATTAATTAAATTAACTTTCAAAGTGCTCAGCCCAACGCTCCAAGCATTTTGACAAGTTGTGGATAGGCTGTCCATTCTCAACGCGTATAGTTTCACTAACACCAGGTCTCCTGCTTCCCGTTTCCCGTATCAGACGGATTAACTTCTGATGGTTACCAAGGTTAGTGGTCATTTACATCTCTGATGCAGGATAAGACCACCCAGATTTGCGGTCTCTCTTCAGGCTAACACGCAGTTTTGCTCTGAGGTCTCTGCGATCCTCGTTGTGTTCGCTTCCAGCCGGAATTTGCCGGCGAGCAACGATGAGTTCCAGAGACCGCGAAGAGACCCAATGCCCGTGTTACCTAAAGGACTTGCCACGAGTATTTGCCTGCTGCCAGGTCTGAGACCAGTGAGCCTCAATTGTATCCAGTGAGCGCTTACTCAAATCGCATGTCAGTGTACTTTGATAGACATTCAGAACAGCTGGCTTCGGCAGTTGGCTGGTGTCAATGCGCTCACAACGTCGTGGGTGTCTGCCAAAACGCATCCGCAGATCAGTGCATACAAGTGCATGGTCGGTATCCACGCATGTGCTCCAAATTGAGCGACAGTTCTGAACGCAGCCTCTCCAGCGGTAGCTTATCGCAAGGTGATCGATTTGCGTCCATAGCTGGTTCGAGGCTGGTGGGTGCCAAATCACTCTCCGGCAGGTGATGTGTCGGAAATTAGTGCTCACAAGAAATAAGCGAGCATCCTCACACAAATGAAGTAACCGCTCACCGTTATCATTACAGGAGCCTACACTAGACTGGCCGCCCAGATACAGTTCATCATTGGACAATTTTCCAACTTGAGCGTTCAGATCCCTAGCCAGCACTACAGTGTCTGCGCTTCTTCTGTGACGAAGCTCGTTCAGTTGGTAGAACTCATCTTCTACCGAATCACCGCTAAGGTTTGTGGGCGCGAAGGAAACGAGGATAAATAGATACCTATTAGTCCCGCGCGACTTCGAAGCTTTGAACGAGCCAGCCAGTCGGACCGCACACATCCGACCACCGACTGGGATCCAATCAACCAGAGCAGCTTTGGCCCGGGGACTCAGGGCAATACCAACACCTGCTTGACCGGCAATCGAAGCTGCATCGTCTCCGGATAAGAACAATGAAAAAGTACTGTTAGTGTCAGCTGAAAGGAATCGCAAAGCGAGCACAGAGCTCAAATCTTGCAAGTGGTTTTCAGATAGGTAGTAGGTGTCGATCAATAGGGCAATTGCTGCCTGTTGCTTGATCAGCAACAATGTGAGTATGTTAAGGCATGCCAATCTGAGTGGAGATCAAGGGCTGCAAATTGAGGCCGAGGAACTGGGTTTGACCACTCGGGAGGACGTGGGCTTGTCGACAAAGCAGGAGTGAAGCTCCGCGTTTACATGTGAGCTGAAACTAGAAGATAAACGCCTATCAAAGCAAGGTGGGAAAGGGCCAAGAATTGGGGTTTGAAAACGGGGGGATAAAAGTGAAGTTGGAACGGGACTAAAGGGGGAAAAAGCGTAAGTAAGAGAATAGGAAGACGGGAAGTCTTGAGCAGTAGCATCCAAACCCTTACCTACCCAGGTCGATGCAGCAGACAGGGCGCCAGTTATTATCCTCTGCGACAGCCAGAGCATCAGGAAATTGTTTAAGAAAAGGTTCATAGTGTTGTTCTGTAAAACCTGATCATTACCACCACCCCGTTGCCTTACGGACAGGCTTTTGAGCCAAAGGGTTTGATTGAGGACCCTAATCGTCCTCCTGTCTAGGTCTGGGCGCCCTGGCAGTATCTCAGCCCACGTACAACCATGATTATTTCTTCAAACGCCAACCACATTCTGCATCGACCGTAGCGTAGATTATTAAGGGTCGCGCTATCTGCTGCATATAGCAGGGCGAATAAGCGAAAACATGCCAATGC